TCCATAGCTACCCGCTATGAAAGATTCACCACTGCATATGGGCATTGCTGATGGAAACTTTAGCAAAGCACCTGAAGCCTGAAGGCTCTGTTACTCCAGTTTCCTTGCAAATGATCCCTGACAAACACTGGCCAACGTCGGCTAGCATAGTATGCTTGTTAAAAAATTGAGACTCTCCATAGCTTAAAAACGTTAGTTTACCTGTGAGATATCTGCCAGGAAGATTATATAAAGGTCCTGAAGCGTTTTTTGAGGATGATATATTTTTTGCTTTCCTGATATGCTTATCGAATCGGTGTTCGTTGTTATTTCTTATATTTTCTGGCGTTTGGCTTGTCCCTTTGAAAGTGGCTGATTGATTGTTATCGAGTCACAAGAGTTCTTGCATTGTTGTGCTATTTGTATCTGTAATCTCATTGATGTAACCTGATCATTGTTCACTATTTTTATCAATAAACTGTTCATTTAATCAAAATCTCATATTTGTAAACATCTAAAGAGATACTGCAAACATGCAAGAGTCCTATCATTTTCCTTGAATTTGTTATTTACTACAAGCAGCATACATGAAAATGAGTTGTGATTTGTGACACCAAAAGAGTTTGAATATAAAAAATAAAATTTAATTGAGATCGAGTTAAGATTTTAATCTCAAGAGTTGAGCTCGAGTATGGCAATATCAACGACTCAGTTGCACACCTAGTTTATTTTTTTTTTTTTGAACAAGAGGGCCCCTATTAGAATTTGGATAGACAAGCAAACGCAGCCTGGTAGGCTGGTCCCATAATCTGCCTTTCTTACTATAAATAGATACAACTGTCTTCACAAACTTGCTGTGCCCTTTTCTGCTCCCACACCAATGGATGGTTGGAATCTCAATCTCATTCTCTTTTCTTTCCTTCTTCTCTTCTCTTTCTCTACTTCAACTGTAACAGGCAATTCTTCACGTTTAACATTAAGTTCATTGAATCCATTCCAAGGTAACACCCCCCCTATAATTGTTCTTCGAAAAAGCATTTTCAGTTATGGTGGGATTTGGATTCTGCTAAGCTTGATGTTTTTATGGGTGCTGTACTTGCTGATGATGTTGATGACGGAACATGTTGCAGATATTGTGTGTTCGTTTATAAATTGTGGGCAAGGAACATGTAAGGCTTCTAACAATTCACTTCTTGGTTTTGACTGCGAGTGTAATCCTGGATGGAGAAAGATACAGATTGGTCCTTTGACCTTCCCCTCTTGTCTTACTCCTAACTGTCAGTTTCTCAGCCTCTATTTCTCTCTACTTACTGTTAATGTGTATGTACATCTATGCATATATGCGCATATGTTGATGCAAGATTGTTGGACTAATCAATATTGTTTATTTTAGGACCTGATGTTTTGTTCTTAAAAAAAAAAAAAGATCATTGCTTTAAGTCACAATTTAATCTTTGGCCATCACGGTATGTTATCCTTTCTTCCTCAACACTCACACCGTTGACAATCAAGAATTGAATCGTGACTAATTATGATGACTTATCATTCTCTTATTGAGAAGTCCTTTTTCATAAGACAAAATCATGACCATAAATCACCAAACTCCAAAAGCAGGCAATATTTTGTGAGACTCGGATCAACAATCTTTTCATTAAGGATAGATAAGTTGTCTTGCTTAAAATTTTATATTGCAAAAGAAATGTAAATAGTTAAGAAGATCAAAACATGTTGAATAAGAATGATTAATAAATATTTTTTGTTTGTCACATTTTTCTTGTTGCTTACATTCTGCCAAATATTTGCCCAACTTAAGTCATTCTGCCGAATATTTGCCTAACTTAAGGTGCTTCTTAATTATCTTAGAAAATATCGGCATGATAAGCTTGTGAAGCTAAGTATACACAGTATTTTTTGGAAGGATATACAGTTGTTACTTCATAATTTGTATTAAAAACAATTAAGTTTGGTAACGACGGCTATTGATCCTCAATAGAAAGTTAAAGTCCAACATTGAAATCTTTCTCTGATTCGCCGTTTACTTGGTCCTCATTCTTTTTTTTTTTTTTTTTAAATTAATATCCGTGACACTTCTTTGTTATTATAGTCAATACATTTTTTTTCAAATTTAAGATTGTTAGGATTCAACTCCGATTATAAAATTAAAAATCCAAAATTCTTTTAATAGATAATAAACTTTTTAATTATGAAGCATGAACACAGATCACAAATATATATTATGGGTATGATACGATATAAATATAATTATATTATAAATTTTAAAAAGTACAGATACGAATTTGACAGGATATGATAATAAAAAATATTTTTTTATATACTATAATTATCAATTAAAAATATATGATAGATATTAGGTTGATTTTTAAAAGATATTTATTTTTATAAAAAAAAATGATGATAAACATAATAAAATAACATACACATCATTATTCACATAAAAATTGTTTTTTTTTCTTTTTTTTTTTCTTATTGTATCCGTCAAATTCGACACATATTTTGACATATTGCAAATATAAAAAATATCGAACATGAATACAACGTAGATAGCTAGAGGTTCAAAACTGTCTACACTGCATAGCTCTTTGACAATATCTAGCTTTGTTGAGGCTAACCGAGTCAACCTTTATGCAAATTAACAATCATTATTTGCAAAATTTAGTAGAAAATATAGAGATAGAGAAAAAAATATTAGCATAAATTTTCATCCATAATAATTTTATTTACTCGATGATTGCAGGCACAGTTGATTTTGATTGTGGCAACGAATCTCCATCAGCACCTCCACCTCCAGCTTCTCTTCCACCACCGGCAAATCAAACTAGCAGTATATATAAATTATTATACTCCTAAAAATGGGTTTCAATTACTTTCAATTTTCAACGCAATTTTGTGAATACCATGCCAACTAAAAGAAAGAAACTATTTTACTCCACAGATTGTGATCTTATCTGGTGTGGTGATGGGAAATGTGTGACTAATGGAACTGGACATATCTGCCATTGCAATCAAGGCTCAGAGAATTTGTTTAATTCCCCTGGCTTACCTTGTTTTAAACCATGTAAGTTGGCTTTCTTTCCCCCTTTTGATCTTGTTAGGTTAAACCTAGCACAAGTAAGGAGCACAAAAGTATAATTTTGAAGGTAAATATCTCTAGGAAATATTACTAGGATGAAGGTCAATTATACTGACTTTTAAATTAAGGCTCCATTTCAGGTTTAATCATAAAATGCAGTCTTCAATGCGGTGGGAATGCTCTCAAATTAAGTCTAAAGTTCCATTTCCATTTATAGTGACTAGTGGTTTCAAGTTGAAAATTTTAATTTGAGCCAAGACTTTGTTAGTGTTGAAGTCTTAAAGAGGTTCTTGGAATTTTTGTTTTATGGAGCGTATTTTCCATTGTTTAGCCAGGCCGTTATGATTAAATTTTAAATATGTAATTTGTGAAATTTCTTGTCCCAGGTTACTTTGGAGCTGACTGTCAGGGCCTTGGGTTGGACCTGCCGCTAGGGCGTCCGCAACCACCACCACCACCACCACCACCACCACCTCCTAGTAGTTTGACCTCAAAAGGTAATGGTAAACTATTTCATATATATATATATATATATATATATATATATGAGATTATATTTAATTGCGCATTATCAATGTATAATATATAAATTCTATATATTATCAATGAAATAGAAGATGTCATCTAATAAATTAATAAATATAAAATTTAAAAATAAATATATAAAAAATTGATATATATATATATATTAATCTGAATTTCTCAGTTTAATTATAGTTTTCTTTTTTTAATTATTACTCTGACTTTATATATCGAACCCTTGCTTTGTACTGATCATTATAGCTAAACATGCATATATTATAGGATTGAAGGGTGTGGTGAATTGCTGGGGAACTCTCCGTGGACTAACTGCGATAGTCGTAGTAGCAGCCTGCCTACCATGGTTTTAGAGGAGGAAAATTGATATGCAGACATTGAACAAGATTAGCAATTAGTTGATAATAGTTTTATGAGTTTTCGTTTTCCCTTTTTTTCGTTACAAAAAAAAATCTTCATGATTACTATGATTTTCTTGTATGACAAGATCAAATCCAATGTTTGACAGAAATCGATGATAGAGACAAATAACACCCTAGCCCAGCTTTATGTCGCAGGAAACATGGAACTAGATATAAACTAAAACTGAACAAGAAGAAGAAAAAGAAAGGATAGGACAAACGAGAGAAGCAGGGACGGATACGAATGGACACCTAGATTTTTCCTAGACACCCAAAAAGTAAAAAACAAAGAAGTTTGAAAAAAATTTTTTTTTTGAATACTTTCAAAATTTTTTCATGGACATTCACAAAGAGGAAAATAAAAAAATTAGAAAAAATTTTTTCCTTGGACATCTTAAAAATTTCCCCTAAATTCACCTTTTATTGATAAAATTAATGAATCCGTTAACATTTTTTATATATTATAAGTGAAAAAAAAAACATAGATCCGCTACTAGAGAAGTATCCCCAAATAAAATGAGGGTATCAAAATTAATGCCTTTTATTCTTAAATAACAAAATATTTTCAAATTTTAATTCATTAATCAGTGATTTGAGTGAGATTGAATTTCGATTTCAAAATTCATTTTCAAGGTTTGACTCGAACTAAATTCGATCTATAAATGAAAAATAATCTGATCTAATGAACAACTTTACGTAAATCTCAATCAAATTAAAATAAAGTGCAAAATTTAATATTGATGAAGAGTAAAATGGCAAATTTGCTTTAATTGTTTTTCTTCTTTAACACTGAGTTGTTTCCATTTCCTTGAGCTTTAATTTATTGAGATCATTCTCTTCAAAAAAAAAAAAATTTATTGAGATCATCGAACCAATTACCCAAAGTCAACATATCGATATCAAACAAAGCCAAACTGGTGAAGAATTCCATACGTAAATATGCACGTAATCAGCACTTATTTCAACCACATACCTATTACATAGCAATGTCATTAGCTCCAAATTTTTATAACCAAATTACTGTTTGATACCGCAAAAGTTTGAAAGGCAGATTGAGTTTTACGAGCAGCATCCGAGTGGAAGAATTCCAAGAATTTATCGAAGTCAAAGGGCTTAAACATCAAGGGATGTTCTTCATCCACTAACTCTTCTGGGGCATTTATTATGTACCCTCCTTTGGGATTCGAAAACAATCCAAATGAGTACCTCGACTTATGTCCCCTCATCATAACACGATGATGTGGAGTGTGCAATCTACCATTTAACCATGCCTGCATGAGTAATAAATTATCACACAAATTTCAATATAGGGTTTGTATTTATTTTCATATGGCTAACATGCTAAAAAACCATTCTTGTACTTTTTAAAGTTGTCTAAGTTAAGTTTTTATTCTTTATTAACTTGCAAATATTAACGTCTATAAGTAAATGATATCTTTGTCATGTTAAGATCTACATGGGACATTACGTGATAAAATAAGGAATCTATAACTTCCTTTGAATCTTCATATTTTATATTTTATCATGTAAATGCTAATTTGAAAAAAATAATAATCATGTAAATGCTGACACGACAAAAATTATACATAAATTTTAATGGTTTTCATTCAAAATAAGAGGTTTTTTTTTTAATTAATCCAAAATAAGAGGGTAATTAAAACAAAAACTTAGAAAGCTCAATTAGATACATTGAAAAATGAAAACTTACTTGAAAAATTTAAGAAAGTGAAATTATCAAATAAATTAGTAGCAAAATTTTTAAATTTTATGAATAAGATTAACATGTCAACATATATCTTAATGTATTAAATTTCCTTGATTTTTAAAGATAAAAGTTTCTCAATTCTATTTCTGTCAATAAACTTTTGAAAATGAGAAGGGAGGAGTAACTTGCATATAGAGAATCCCCAATCATCACGGTTAAAGAGTCCGGTTTCGCAGTGATCCATTCACCATCTTTCATTTGAATCTCCAACCCTTCAATGCCTTGGCATAATACCGTCACTATATTTTTATCTGTGTGATCTCTTGACCCAAGCGTTTTCTCAGTTGTGTGTGGTGCTTTGTATTTCATGGCCCTGAGAAGGTATTTGGTCGAATTCATGTGCTCATCCATATATTTTTCCAGGCCAAAACTTTCCAAAATCATCCTCCTAACCATTCGTTCAAGCTCCGAGACTTGCTCTACGATAAATTGTACACTTTTGCTGCAAAAAATAGAACGGTTTTTAGTTTTTCTTTTTTTTTTAGATATAGGAGGCTGCAGCATGAAAATAGGAAAAAGAGTTGCAGGTGTTAGAATTTGAACTTTAAGACTTACTGAATTTCAGTTCTTAAAGATGACTATGCGAAAAATTGAGTTAAAATTTGAGTTCATAAAATATTCATTATTTAATAACTAATATCATAGACAAAATGCACATTAACACCATATATAGTTTTGTCAAAAATCATCTTTCATGGGAAGATGAATTTTGTAATGGAGAAAGGAACCAAGGAAGTGAATTATATATGAACCTGAAACTTGTGTTTCCTTGGGGCCAAAAGCTGTTGGTAAGGGAATCGACGTTTTCAGCGACGTTTGGATCTTCAATCCCAATGCTTTCATATAGTGGTGCATTAGGATGGGGTGCAATATAGGCATGAGAGGGCTTCTCGGAGACATTGAGCATTTTTGTTTCTAAAGGTAAGTCAAAAAGCTGCTCCAGGCCTCCGAATACCGCCTTTCGAAGCTCCAGTGGAGCTTTGTCGTACAATGCCTCGAAGCAACCAAAGTCTTCAAGTGCTCGACGGACTTGCGTTTTCACTGAATCCCATTCTGGATATCCTGGCTTGAGATCTTGCTTTGAGAAATCTATGACTGGAAGCCGAAGCGGGGTTTCAGAGGCCATTTCCCTTCTCACTTTTGTGCTTGGTTAATCAAGCTTTTAATTATGTTAAGCAATATTTGAGAGAATTACATAAATGATTTATATATAGCTCTCATCGAGTTTGGCTGTGGAGTTTTCTTTTTAGATTCTTTTAGGCTGGTAGGCTAGTGTAGTTTCGGCAAGGTTTCTCACTATTTTAGTGTTAGGTTCAATGCAAGTTGAGTGTTTGTCAGGGGTTCAGTTAGGGGAGCTGCTGCCTTTTGGCGGATATTTTTAGGCAAGCCTCACTTTTTGTTTTTTCCCTTGGTCTTCTCAAGCTCCCTTTTTGTTGGAATATTTAAATAATGAAATTTAAAATGTTGAAAATGAAGGAAAAAATTTTAAAACTTTTTAAAATAAATTTTAATTCTTAATTTTTAATTTTTAAAACATAATTATTATTTTATAAAATGTATAATTTTATTTTTTTCAAAACATAAAATTCATTTTTAAAAGATTTTCCCTTTTCCAAATTTCTTTGTTATTTTTCAAAAATAAAAATTTATGTTAATTTATTTTTATATATTTCTAAAATTAAGACATGTGACATTCATACAGAGGTGTTTATGGGCTGGATCGAGTTAGGTTAGGGTCAAGCCTATGGTCGATGTCAATAGTTTGTATGCCTATCTAAGTTTGGCTTGATCCGATATTTTGGATATTAAATTTTTTCCAAGCTCAGCCTAAATTGAAAAAAATAAATTTCAAACACAACCATTAAATGTAATTTATCTAATAAAAATTTTTTAAAAATCACTTTTTTAAAAAAAATAAAAATATACTTGTATAATTATAATATTTTAATTATATATTTTATTCGAGTTGGGCTAGGTTGCATCCGCGCATTAATTCTTTTGACTAAGGTCCACCCTAAAATTTAAACGAACCTAAAAATTATGCCAAAACACATTTAATGAAACCTTAATTTTTTATCCATATCTTTTCAAAACTTGACGGACCTTTGAACCTGGATAGATAATCCGACCCTTAAACTGGTCTACGTTCATATGTATGCCAAGTAAGCTAATTGTGATAGTTTTTAAAGATAATATGATAACACCAAATTATATAGTGATTTTACATGCTAAAAATGGTGCTAAATTTTAAAATTTGGATGATTTTTTATACTTTTTATGTTGTTTTCATGATTTTAGGGATTTCAAGCTCGTAGCCTTCATTTTTATGCAAGCCATGCATGCAAGGAGCAATTTTGGCCTAATCTTGGAGCTTAGAGCTAAACCACATTGATCCACATTCATTCATCTATGCAGTCGAGATGGAGTTTTGCCTGTACAAGAACTTTCCCATGATGCATTACATTAGGCCACCTATAACCTAACAGGGATTACATGCAAGTTCAAAACTCATTTGGACTCCACATATTTGGCTAAAAGAGATATAATCCTAGAGTACTTTCTTTGCTTAGCCATGAAGGAATTATGTTTGCATAAAAGACTCTATATGTATTTGGCTAGCTCATTTCCAAGAAAGAATCAAGAATACATATGATATATGAAAAAGTTAAAGCTACCATAGGCTTTTGCATGATCGGCTAAGGGTGATTTCATCCAAGAAGAAATCTACCCATTTGGCCACGTAAAGAGGAAGTTTAGTTTGCAAGAGCATGGACTCTTCAATCATTATCCTATTCAGCTAAGACTCTATTCAAGAAAGACTTCATGCACTATTCACCATAATGAAGACTGGATACATTCCCCTAAGAGTGTTATACTCATGATGGACTTTTTAGCTCATCTAATGAAGAGTTTTGACAAAGGAAGGAATTTGCAAGATAATTGAAGAAAAATCAAATTATTCTTGAAATTTTAAGCCTTAGCCAAATCCAAGAAAGGAATTTATCAAGATTTAACCACGCATTGATCAAAGGCCAATATTGCACCTTCAAGACCCCATTTAGCCAAGCACACTTAAGTAAGAGGAGTCCTATTCAGTCATGCCTCTTTAGAAGATGAAGATGAGCCTTATCACCTAGAGTTTGAATTTGAAAATACATCTTGTAAATCTTATCCCATTGGTCGAATCCTACTCTATAAATAAGGAGGCCATTCACCCTATTCCATCATTCCGTTCCTCATTTCTCATTTCTCTTTTAGTTCTTAGTTTCTAGTTCTTTTATTTATTTAGTTTAGTTATTGGCTTAGGTGACAAATTTGCCAATAACAAAGCTTTTGTTCTTTAAATTCTTTTATTTCAATGCAAGAAGTATTTTTTCGAGGATATTTTCTTTTATTGTTTCAAGTTTCAAATCCAGTTTTTCCAATCTCTATTTCGGTAAAGTTTTCTTTTTCTTTAGCAAGATTGATTCAAGCATTCTTTTACTATTTGCAAGTTTTGGCCATAGTCTTTTGATGCTCTACAAGTTTAACTTTTATGCAATCTTTCTTTTCTTTATAAGCATTCGGCAATCACTCTTTCTTATTTTCAATCTTTGAATTCTTGTTCTTTTAGATTTTGTATGTCGCTATATTCTTTTACTTTCCAAGTAATAGTTGGTGAAGTCAGGATTCAAGCCTATAATTGCTTTTAATCTTTATTTTCTTTCTTTTGCAAACAATCCCTAAATTTTTAATTGCTTAGATATAAGAACTTAGGTTATTGCCTTTGGTAATTGTGAACTACTCAACATTGCAATCTATAATCCCTTAGGAGATGATACTAGAATACTTTTATTATTATTACTTGATCTGTATCTTGCAAGCTATATTAAAAGTAGTAATTAAGTTTTTGGCATTGTTGCTTGATTATAGTAGTGTTTTCAATATCAATAAAGATTTCTTAAACTCTTATAATCTAAACTTTTTTCTTTTATTTATTTACTTTTTTTTTTGCTTTTCTTTAATCTTTTCTTGTTTACATGCATAGATCTAAAAATGTTGACTTAGTTGTAATTGATCAAGAAATTGAAAGAACATTCAAAGAAAAAGAAAATGGCAATCAACACTACCTATACCAATATCCCTGGCTAATGCAAACAATGAGTGATAAAGAGCTTTAAGAGACTATGCAGTACCTAATGCAAATGGTTTTCAACCATCCATTAGAAGGGCAGCTATTCAAGCCAACAATTTTGAGATCAAACCTTCAATTATACAAATGGTCTAAACTTCTGTGTAGTTAGAAAGGTTACCAAGTGATGATTCCAATCTTTGCCTTTCTAAATTTCTTGAATTATGTGATACTTTTTGCTATAAAGAGGTTTTTGATAAAGCTATTAAACTATAATAGTATTTTTGATAAAACTATTAGAGTAAGATTATTTCCTTTTTCTCTTAAGGATAAAGGAAAAAGTTGGTTGTCATCATTACCATTTAGTTTAATCACCATATGGGATGATTTGGCATAGAAGTTTCTAGCAAAGTTTTTCCACCAGTAAAAACATTAAAGCTAAGGAATAAGGTCATTACATTTCTACAAGTAGATGGTGAAACACTATATGATGGATGTGAAAGATTCAAAGAGCTGTTAAGAAAATGCCCACACCATGGATTACCATAATAGTTTAAAATCTATATCTTTTATAATGGTCTCACACCACCTATGAGAACCATCTTTACTTAGCTGCTGGAAGGGCAATAATGAGCAAGACTCTTGAGGAGGCAAATGAGCTAATTGAAGAGATGGTTACTAATAACTACCAATGAGGGATAAAGGAAAGGTAAGTAAAAAGTCTGCTGGTTTATTTGAAATAAATGCTATCATTTCCATCAATTCCCAATTAGTTGCCTTCACAAAAAAGATTGAACCCTTAGGAAACCAACCTCAATCCAACCTAGTGAATGCTATCCAAAACCCTTTTGTGTCATGTGATATATGTGAAGACCTCATTTTATTGAAAGATGCTAGCTTAAAACTATCCAATTTATTCAACACCTCAAGTTTTACCCATCTTTTAGACCATAACACATCAACAATCTACCTTACAAGATTAGGCCAAATCCATTAAAAACATGGAATCTTAAATTAACACACTGGCCAAAAATCTTATGAAGCCACAAGATGAGGTGATAACTATAACCTTGAGGAGTGAAAAACTTTACCTGTGAACCACATGCTCCAAAAGTGATCCCCAAATTGCTAGAGGTAAGTGTAGAAATTAACAATACAACATATGCTTTTTCAAGGTTGAAAGATCTAAAAATTCCATTTCTTCCAAGATTTTGGTGATAAAAAAAAAAGAAAGGCGATTTGTAAGATTTGATGAACTCTCTAAAAATTTACAAGTAACCATTTTTTTCTCTAAAACCATAGAATGCATGCCTAAATATGTTAAGTTCTTAAAGGGAATTTTGTCCAAAAAAAAAAGATGGAAGGATCATAAAATAGTGGCAATTGCCTAAGAGTGTAGCACCATTATACATGAAAGGATACCACTAAAACTAAGTGATCTAGAGAGTATTACTATTCTTTACTTATTAGTAATCAGTATTTTGATAAAGCATTATGTGATATTAGTGCAAGTATTAATATAATACCTTTATTTGTTTTTAAAAATTTAGGAGAAGGAAAGCTTGAATCGATAACAACAATAATACAATTGGTTGACAAATCTATCAAACATTTTGAAGGTGTGGCTAAAACTTAATGGTGCAAATGGGAAAGCTAATGCTCTAAGCAGATTTTGTGATCTTAAAAATCAATAAAGAGGTCAAAGTGCTAGTTATATTGGGGAGACCTTTCTTAAAGACGGGAAAAGCCTTAATTAATATGTAAAATGGGGAACTAACAATGAGCATGTATGATCAAAAGGAGGCCTTTTGCATGAAGGCACATAAAAGATGTTCAAGAAGCAATAAGAGTGATAACTATTAGTGCAGTAATAGAAGGTAATGTAAAAACAACTATCAAACCATCCATTAAAGAGCCCTTTATGGTAGAATTGAAGCCCTTGCCATCCCATTTGAAGTATACATTCCTTAATGAAGCATCCACTCTTTATGTTGTTATCTTTTCAGTTTTGAGCCAAGATCGAAAGGAAAAATTGCTAGAAGTACTGAAAAAGCATAAAAGGGCATTTGCTTGGACAATAGCAAATATCAAAAGTATCAACCCTACCATATGTATGCATAAAATCCTATTAGAAGATGAGCATAAAGCAATGATTGAACAACAAAG